ATAGGTCCCAAGTATTTGTTATTTGAATGTTGGCTTTTAAGGGTCGGGTTTGGTTGACACATCAAGTGTAGTATATAACTGGTCGGGTTTATTCTTCACATTCCTTTTTCCTGGACCTTTCAAAGGTAAAGACGCATAACAATTGCTTGCAAAAAAATACATGAAATATTGTTTTGTTACTTTAAAAAATCGTATAATTTTCCATTTATGCATTGTTCTAAACCATTTTTACGCTTTTATTACTATCGATGTGCAATAATTATGACGGATGAGATTGGATTCAAACATTATACAAAGCAGACGACGCGCACGCGGTTATACTAAAAAATCGTTTACTTGTACGTTTGTATTGTTTTACAATGATGTAATGTTGGGTATTAACATTGATAACTTTATTTTTGTTTCATACTGCTTCGAAACCCGGCAAATGCAAACTAGAATATGTCTTATGCATGTGAACAACAATAAGGAAACTCGGTCGGAGCTTCTCGTGGACATGGACCCAAATACAAGACTACAAGTCAAAGAAAAGCATAGAAAATTATCTTGAAATCGTTTGGAAAACCAGACATTGAATATAAGTATCATAACAGATTCACAGTCCAGTATATCAGGTACATCAAATACCTTTTCATTGCATTAGTCAGTTGAATGTGTATACATGTATACTTGAATTGTCTTTTCCACTGTAGATTGACACCAAATTATAAGCAATGTCTGCCAGCATAGCTTTTGATGTTGCTTCTATTCCCCATTTTCAAAAGGTGAGTTATTTCCCCTGAAGGGAACTCTTTTACTGTGTTTAATACGCATGCGCTATAAATAAAGTCACTTCCGCGGACGTTCTTGATGTAAACATGTTCATGGTGTAATGCCTCTGTCATATGGAAAAATGTTATTGTGTTTGTGAATAAAAAGAAATCTTAACTGATTCATATTTTTTTAAATTGCCCACTCATTGTCTCTTTCTGGATTTGTATTAATCTGTATAGTAGTATAATAAGGCGCTGTGTGCGCCCCCCCCCCCCCTTACAAAAAAAGAAAAGAATCAAATTACTGATAAAATGCTGATGCATATTCGAATAGGCCTATTTAAAAAAAAAAATAAATAAAAAAAATAAATAAAATAATAAACAAATTTTCGGTAGTGGATGTTCTGCATACTGATCATCACTATTTACAAAATGTGCAGAACAAATGTAAGAATTTTTAGTTTTTACGAATTAATCTAGCATGCTGCAGCCATATTTTCTTCTCTGCATCTCTAGGAATTTTTTGGAGACTGATGACATGTCCATCTACAGTTTTACCCCTGAAATTGTTGCATATACAGCAGTAGTTCGTCTTCCGCGACCGATATCAAGAAACTGCGTTTTTGCTCGATTGTATGTCATAAAATAGAACTTTTACTTACAAGAACACATTTGGTGTATTTCATTTTAATTAACCGTGTTTTCAGAATTTTTTATTTGTAAAATAATTGATTCACTGCACGCATAGTATTAAAAACTTTGAATGGAATTCTAAATGAATAATTTAATCTCATGTGCTCATGTAACGAAGAAAGACTAATTAAAATAGCATCGACCTGAATTCGTGTTACATATGTCGTATAAAGTCTGAGCTGCATTTAATCAAAGTTTTAGTGCAGGATCTAAGCATACGTACATGCATATTCCCGAGGAAAATACACATTTTGTTTTAGATCAGAGAATCGACAGCAGAAACACGAAATAGATACAATAATTTCCTAGCGTATTTCTTGTTAATTAAAGGAAAACATTCTTTTCTCAAGTGTTATTCATGTTTTACTTTTTCTATTGAAAATGTTCATTGAAAAGCTGCCACCCCCCCCCCCCCCCCAACACACACACAGTTTATACTACGGTAAAGTTATATAAGGGAAATGTAGTTATGCCAAGGAACTGGTACTGAAATAAGTAGCTTTTCGACTTTGGGCAAGGTTTTTCTTTGCTTGTCAACTTTTCCAGGTAAGAAAAAACATATTTCTTTGGCTGCCCCCCCCCCCCCACTTTTAAAGACGATGATACGTGCCTGGCTAATTCGTATAGCTTTCTAGAAAGGGGGGGGGGCAACAGACCCTTTATAAAATCGCTTATTATCTAAAAAAAAAAATTGCAAACCGTTTCCTTCTTTTAAAATTTTTAATGCAGCGTGTAAGTTGATCACTATTTTGTTGGATTATCGTAACGTGTAGTCCGCGGAAGTTGTGCTAGTGTAGAAGAGTTCCGATTTTGAGGGGAGATAACTCACTTTTGAAAATGGGGAATAACTATTTGTTTTTTTTAAATTTTAACTTTCAAGATTAGAGAGGGAAATGATTTTGAAAAAGAATTTAAAGAAAAAGGGGGGGGGGGCTAACTGGAAAAAGTAACTAAGTACCAGAAATCAAGTGGAAAACAAAATGAAATTAAATATAACAACCAGTAAATCTTAAAAAATTAAGTTGCAATAAAATAATCTCCCAAAATAGCTGCAGATCTACACTCAAATCTTAAAACTTAACATTGGTATCTTTCAAAATAAGAACTTGTGGTTGCTTGAAACTTGTTTAAAACTATGGTCAAAATAACCCTATAGATTGTTTTGAGATGCTCTTGTAATGTTAGGTGCAGATAATGCAGCAGCTTAATTTTTTATATATGTTATATGAGAAGAATATGTCATACCCATTGCACATTTTCATTAAATTTCTATTTGTGAAATTACATAAATACATTCAATTTTTTTGTTACAACATGTTGTTTGATTGTAGGAATAGAATTTGTTGAGTCTTTTAAATCCAAGGAATATTAGGCATTACTTGCAACATGGCTAAGCACTATTAGGCTTAAGGCATTATTTTAAAATATGGCTCAGAACAATTAGGCATTGATGACAACCTGGCTGAAAACTACTAGGCATTACCTAAAACATGGCTCTCTATGGCTCCATGGCTCAACCTGGATCAGAACTATTGGGCATTAAATACAACAGGAATCAGAACAATTAGGCATTAATTACAACATGACTAAAAAATACTAAGCATTACTTACAACATGGCTCAATCTGGCTCAGAACTATTAGGCATTACTTACAACATTACTCAGAATTATTAGGCATTACTTACAACATGACTCAGAACTGTTGGGCATTTCAACATGGCTCAAAACTATCGGGCATTAATGCCAACATTCTTCAGGCTGGCATAGTATATATCTCAAGTTTGTGATGAATGTAAATAAAAAGGAGAATGAAGTACATATATCTTTTCCAGAGTAGAGTTTTGTTATAGTTATTTAAATTCACCCAATTTTCCTTGAGTTTAGTTCTTTGTATTCATGAAATATCACAATCTGATGTTGTGAAAGCCCCTAATATTTATAAGGCAAGTGATAAGATCAGTTGCATGTCTTAATTTTTTAGACTTACACTGAAATTTGGCATCCTACTCATTATATTAGATGACTTTAAGAAGCAATGAGATCTTAATTTGGGGTCAGGGAGCAATTATCCTCTGGAATGTGCCTTTCTCAAGTCTGTATTTTTAGGAGCTTTCTGTTATTGATTCCATTTGCTAGCTATTAATTAAATTGGAAACAAAATGGTCATTGAAATATAGTGATACAAAGGGGAAAATGAGGAAGGGGGCATGTTCATTTTTAAACAACATAATGTTTCAATTCATAATAATTTTTGAATGAAAAGGAAAATAAAAATATACTTGTATTTAACCAAAAGTCATCCATTGCCTAAGACTGGAATTACTTGGATAGCTTTGTTTGATCCAATAAAGTTAAAATGAAATGTTGGAAATTGCAATATGCAGTCCAAGAAATGTAAAGAATGTTTTGTAATCATTTAAAATGAATATATTTTGGTTTTTAATAATTAAAGCTAAAAAGAAAGACAATGTACAGACAAATCTCATTTTCTTAAACTTTTGGGATCAGGAAAACCTTTCAGTAGAGATATTGGATATTTGAGATGTAGGTAGACATGACCTTCCAGATCATCATCAGTTCAGGTTATTAAAGATAGCAGTGTTGGAAATACCAAATTAAATTACAATTACTTCTTATCCAAGTAAACTTATAGGACATGCAACAGAATGTATGTTGCATATTGAATATATGGTCTTATTTAAACTATTTGGTTATATTTATACACAAGAAGTGACCCAATTGGGCAAGTTCATTAAATCCATAACAGTGTATCAATTATTTTTCAGAAGAGTTCTCACAGGAAGTTTATATGTTTTTGGAATTTTATACTGGTTAGTCAACTTGAATATGCATTTGGCTTAATTTTTAGGATGTTTGGGCTATCGAAGTTCCTCACAGGGTGCTTATATTATATTTTGTATTTTTGTTCTTATTATGCGGTTTTTTAAACCTAAGAATGTGCAGTGTCCCTTGGGCTTGTATTTAGAACGAGTTTCACTTGGTGTAGGTTTTTAATCAAAATACTATTAAGAAGGATCAAGTACATATTGATAGCAGTCCATCTAATATGTGTATTAAGGCTCATTGCATATGGAATAAAATAAATAATTGAATGAGTAAATAAATAAATAAAATAAAATATTTCCATTTGATGTAATTAATAATCAAACATCTATACCTTAGAGAATTTTAGACTTTGCTATGCTTTTTGGGCTACACAGTGGAACAATGTGGTCATATAAAGCTGTAGAGCTCAGATGCACAAACATGTATCACAGGCATTAATAATATTTATTGAAAGAATCTATGTAAGAGGGAAGGGACTTGGTCAATTAGCACATAAATAAGGTAAGACAAGTACCCTAGTATTGCAAGCATGGGAAATGAAATTGCAGCCATTAAAATCCTAGTTTTAAAATGGCATCAATAAAGTGCCAAATTTCTTCATAGAAGCTTAGTTGGTAAGCATGATATACAAATTGGAATACTAGTAAATTTGTGACAAGTATCAGGTAATGTATCTTTTGTAGAAATATCATTTAACAAGATCAGTATGCTTCCAAAATGATAATATTGTCTTTCACAGGCATTTGTAACCATCTGTAAGTAGTGTTATACCTTCTTGTAAGTGAATATGATTAAGAATTTGAAATTGCTCTGCTTAAATTGGCTAATTAGAGATTGAATTTGTCACCTTCGGAGTTATAAAATTTGGTTTTTTCAAACAGCAGGACATGGCTTTCCTAGCAATTTTTAAACAGGAATTGTGATATAGGTAGTTCTCTGGAGTTAAACTTCCCTTATTTGGTTTAAAAAAAACCAAAGATCTTTAATTTTGATTTATTACAACCATTTATATCCAACTTGCCTTGAATAAGGGGGGAAATGGTGGTATAGAGCATTGCAAGGTTGCTCAGACACTTCAGAAGGAATTGATAGACAGGTAAGTTTCTACAAGACCAAAGCTTTATTAGGCATTGAGGAATCTAAGGTGAGATACATCATATTTTGATATGTAAAACCTTTTCTAAATTAAGGGAAATTCAGAATACTTTATTCTAAGTCTGCTGAAGGACTTGCACATCTAGGAATCAAGATGTGTGCAAGTATCTAGCTGGGAAGGGGGGTCTTGGCAGTGTTGGTCGTGGAACAGTTGACTTGCTTTGCTACCCCCAATGTGTGGGGTGACTGCAAGCTGTGCCAACTTGCAGCCATTTGGCGTCTGCGCACACCAAGTCAACTGATAACTGAATGTTTGTGTGAAACTTGTAATAAACTGTCACCTTGTTGAAATGCTAATGCTAGTGTCAACTAAGCTAATAAGCTTACTCTTGGTGACAGTAATATATACTTTAGAGCTGTACTACATAGTACAGGTTTGAAATATGAAAAATGTTGATATTTGAAGTTTGAGATGTTTGATCTATGAAGTTTGAGATATTAATGATATTTGATATGCAAGATTTGATAAAATCAGTTGATATGCTTGATATTTGGAATTTGAGATATGACATATTGATTGATTGATTTGATTGATTTGATTGATTGATTGATTGATTTGAACAATTTGTATGTGTGCTGACCCTCCGCGGTTAACCCGGGACGGTTAGAAAAAAGAAACACACATTGTTGATGTTTGAATTTGGTGGGTTCGCCCAATTGAAATGGCGTCCCACAATTTTGTATCATGCCACGGCCAATACTCGCCACAATAAATAAGTATAAATTCTACATTGAGTTTTGTGTCAATTTTCTCTGTATAAATAATAGCATCTATTTGTGTATACAAAATAGATGCCTTTATTTTACGAGAAAAGTATATTTGAAGGGACCTATATACTAGTTTATAGGTCCCAAGTATTTGTTATTTGAACGTTGGCTTTTAAGGGTCGGGTTTGGTTGACACATCAAGTGTAGTATATAACTGGTCGGGTTTGTTCTTCACATTCCTTTTTTCCTGGACCTTTCAAAGGTAAAGACGCATAACAATTGCTTGCAAAAAAATACATGAAATATTGTTTTGTTACTTTAAAACCCGCCCACCCACTACCTTTTTTGAATGTTCCATTTTCTCTAAGAATGATATTCTGCTGCTTGGTTTTTTGCTTTATTTTGCAGTGAATTAGCTTTGATCTGCACGTCCGAGATGAAGACCTTATACCCATGCATAGAAAATATCCTGGTGCTGTCTAAGGAGAAGAAGTGAAGAATCTACCAAATGATGCCCACATGAAGCCCATTGCCAGCTTTAAGGATTGTGCTAAACGTGATTTAACTGTCTCTGTGCAATATGCGTACTGAATAGTGTTGCAAAATTGTAAAACTTGCTATCGTTTATAAAATGCAATTGGTAGCATATGGTCGATTATAGGATTGATAGTTTGACCAAAAAGAAACCGTCGTGGCACTTTTTCAAGGAGAAGATATTAGTGTTTAGCGTCTGCGCACACCAAGTCAACTGATAACTGAATGTTTGTGTGAAACTTGTAATAAACTGTCACCTTGTTGAAATGCTAATGCTAGTGTCAACTAAGCTAATAAGCTTACTCTTGGTGACAGTAATATATACTTTAGAGCTGTACTACATAGTACAGGTTTGAAATATGAAAAATGTTGATATTTGAAGTTTGAGATGTTTGATCTATGAAGTTTGAGATATTAATGATATTTGATATGCAAGATTTGATAAAATAAGTTGATATGCTTGATATTTGGAATTTGAGATATGACATATTGATTGATTGATTTGATTGATTGATTGATTGATTGATTTGAACAATTTGTATGTGTGCTGACTCTCCGCGGTTAACCCGGGACGGTTAGAAAAAAGAAACACACATTGTTGATGTTTGAATTTGGTGGGTTCGCCCAATTGAAATGGCGTCCCACAATTTTGTATCATGCCACGGCCAATACTCGCCACAATAAATAAGTATAAATTCTACATTGAGTTTTGTGTCAATTTTCTCTGTATAAATAACATATACGTATACGTTTATTTCAGGATAAGTTAATTTTAAATATTTTTAGTAGCCATTCGTGTTATCTTCATAGGCAGGTAAATGATAATAAAATATTAGATGAAATAGATAAACATTGCATAAAGAGTCTAGGTACGCTAGTTATAAAAATGACAGGTTATTAAAGAAAATAGTAAGCAACATTTGATAAGGATTTTAATTGTAATTTAGTTTATCTTGATATAGCAAGCTTCAATGTCAATGAAAATTGTAAACCATATTATTTGTGAAGCGCCCATGTTCAATTATTAAAAGAGATATTTTTATGTGAATAAATTAAGGCCTAAAGATAAGTCGTACAATTTTTAAGCATATGAATGATTTTCTATCAATTAATATGATAACCAATATCAATACATGTACATGTTCAATTATTAAAAGAGATATTTTTATGTGAATAAATTAAGGCCTAAAGATAAGTCGTACAATTTTTAAGCATATGAATGATTTTCTATCAATTAATATGATAACCAATATCAATACATGTACATGTATAATCAAGTGAATAAAC